CCAACCCTACGAGCCACTGAAACCCCAGTGCTTGGGCTGATGGGATCGCCACTGCTTCAGGTCACCACAGACGGCATCCACGCTAAAAATCACCCTGTAAGTACTGGTTCGGTTTTTAAAGACCCAGATCCTTTCATCGCACCTGGTAAACAGCTGCTCCCCAGCCCGCCCCCACACTTCCCGCCTCTCACTCCTGCACTCCTGAGTGGCAGCAGGTGGCCTCCAGTCCCTCCTGGATGGCTGGTGCCTGGGCCCTACCTGTCACTAACCATTTTGGGGGTATCACCCCCACCCAGAGCCACTGCTAACTGAGGGCTCTTTGTCAAACCCCGGTTTCCCCCAGCCCATGGCTGAATTCCTTCATGGACACCTCTGGACGTCACACTCATTTCCAGAACGCCTCAAACTTTCCGGACACCCGCCTTCTCTAAGCACCCCTGCCCCATGACATAACAGGAGGGAATCCCAGAGTTTGGAGCTGAGGGACGATGTATGGCTACAGGCTGCCCCCTGCTGCCCCAGATGTGCATCGCAATCATCGCCCGTTCAACTACTTTCACCTAAAAGGCATTCAGCTGCCCAGTAGTAGGAAGTTCCAGAATATAGAAAATAAAGAGGATGGCTCCAGATTATTTTTTCCAGTGCTTAAAATGCCCCCAATTCCCAGGAGCCCTGGGTCTTCAGAATATAAACCACTGAGTTTATGTGGGATGCTTTTCCACTGTAAATACTAATTTAGGCAGAGACCAGAAATGGCGGTCAGCAGGGGTTCTGGCCCTGACACCCCATTTCCTACCCACAGAACCAGTGGGAGACACGGTTTTCTGAGCGCCCGGGCTCCGCACCAAACCCAGAGAGGATCAACCGTCCCTCACGAGGCCGTCACACTTCAGGGAGAAACGCAAGCCCTGAAGTGCTCTACAGTTATTATTTTTAACATAATTATCTATCAGGGAATATTTAAACGATCTCCCAGAGCCTAGATGGGTATCGAAAATGTGGAGCGCCTAGTCGCCGGAAATCATCAAGGATGCTCGTGGGGGAAACGAGGACTAGTTAAGTGTTAGCAGCGCAATCACTCAAGAGCAAAGCAGCCCCTGAGACCACTACCCTCGGCGCAGCCCGCTGGCAGGACCGCCCTTCACGGGGCTCCGGGAACCTGTAAGTCCGGAGGGTTCCCTCCCTTCCCTGGTAAGAGTGACTCCCTCTGCCTAAACTGTGCTACAATGTGGTTCATGCGGAAGACGGGCTTTCCTTCTGGGACTCTGGGATCTGGGGACATGCTACACAGAGGTGCCTACATGACCACCCCCCACCCTGTGAAAGCCCTGGGCACTGAGTCTCTGAAGAGCCTACTTGGTCAAGGCACCTGGGTGGCTCAGGTGGTTGAGCATCAGGTCATGATCTCAGGGTCCTGGGATCGAGCCCCGCATTGGGCTCTCTGCTCAGCGGGGAGCCTGCTTCCTCCTCTCTCTCTCTACCTGCCTCTCTGCCTACTTGTGATCTCTGTCTGTCAAATAAATAAATTAAAAAAAAATCTTAAAGAAGAAAAAAGCTTGTGCCTGGTTTCCTCCGGGCTTCGTCTCATATGCCTTTTCTCTTTCCTGATTTTGCGTCGTTTCCTTTGGCCAAAATAATCAGGGCGGTGAGCACTACTGCAGGCTGAGTCCTGGGAGTCCTCCTAGCCCATGTTCAAGCTGGGGGTGGTCTCAGCGACCCCGACACACAGCTTCTGGTTCTGGTGGGGACCAGCCCAACTGGCACACTCGAGCCTGGCCAGAGAGGTGCTCGGTACGCTGCACGTCATGAAAATGTCCGCACCCTCCGATTCGGTCATCCCGTTCTCGGAACACGTCCTGTCGGCAACAGCGCAGCAGACGGAGGCACAGATATCCATCGGAACGAATGCCAAATCCGGGAACAGAGTAAATGCCCAAGAACAGGGAAATGGCTAAGTATATTGTGACACACCAGCTGTAAGAACCTGATTAAAGGGAGGAGTATAAAGATGATGAAGAAAGACATGAAAAGATGTTTCCGATGTTAAATTTTTTAAGGCTGGGTAAATTGACAGCAAAGAACAAAAGTAACTGTTAAAGTGAAAATGGCTGGGATGACAAGGGGCTGTGGATTTCTCCACACCTAAATTACCTTGAATGCTGCTGTTGTCATCATCTCCGAACTTTCTGGGGTCTCGGCAGGAGCAGCTGGAAAGGTGTGAGCGGTGGCCCTGAATCCGTCTGCTTTTACCACCTTTCATGAAGCCTTCAGGGTGTGCGCATGGGGGAAACAGAGTTAAGCCAGTTTTCATTTGGGAAAGAGATCTAGGGGACAGGAAGGAAGCCTAAACTAAGCAGGCAAAGACTTTCCCCACTGCAGTCCCTGCCCCCCCGGAGCCCCGCCTCTCCCTGCACCTCATCTGGTGACCCCCATTTCTGCTTGCTCCCGTCTCTGCTCAGTGACGCCACTCCGCTCCACCGGCTCCCGACGGGAACCTCTTCCCCTTGCCGGAAGTGGGAGCTCCTGCCCAGGCCTAGCCCTCCGCCAGCAAGTGGGAAGGGGCACGTCTACAGGTAGTGGGCGTGGCTTCTCGAGCAAGCCCCACCCCACCTGCCCCACAGGGCGGAGCCTGACTCCGATGATCGAAATCTCTCAGGTTGCGGCCACCCGGCCCAGGGGAGCCAGGCCCGCACACCAGAGCCCCGGCTGTAGAGTTCTACCAGAACCTACCTTAAGGTCCTTCTGGGATTGAGAGAAATCCATTAAAATACAGCTCCAGCAACCCCCAAATCCAAGGATTTTTGTCCTGTCCTGGAAGGTTGTATAGAAAGTTACATCACAAGGTGTGGGGTGTGGAAGGGGCAATGACTTGCTCAAGGACATCCAGCAGATGTCCTGGCAGAGCTGGCAGAGCTGGGACTGGAACCCAGTGTCCTGATTCCCTTTGAGGGGTCCCCCAGGCTGGGCTTACGGAGACCCACCCAGAGTGGATCTGGACACTTTTCGGCTCAGTGACTGAAGAAAGAGAATGTGTTCAAGATGGACTGGCAGGTGAAGTCTTTCTCCCCGCAACATTTTATTTTAAAAAATTACAAACATATAGAAACGTTGAAAAAATGGTACAGTGCACAGCCATATACCCATGACCTAGATTGTACAATTAACATTTTGTTGTATTTGCTTTGTCACATTTCTATTTGTCCCTCTACCATCTGTCAGTCTGAAATAGTTTCTGAATTAAAGACCAACCCGCACAGAAATATTCAGCCTCTACATACATCAAGCCCTTAGTCATCCTGGATGTCCCTGCTGGCCTTTTTCGTCCTGTTCCTTGTCTTTGGAGCATGTGGCCAGGTATCTGAGCAAACCGCATGGCTATTCCAGGCTGCTCCACGCCTCAGCCTGCCACTGAGCTTACAAGAAGCGTCCCATGCAGCAGGCACTGACCGTCTCTACCCACACACTCATGGGACCTCTCCAAGAGTTTCAAGGAGGTCAGAGCTGCCACTCCTCGGCAAGGTAGGGACTGGTCCTGGCTGTGCTGGGGGCCCAGCTGCCGAAGAGTTATTCAACCACAGGGGCAGCCTTCTTCTCGGCCCCTGGGCATTCACCCCATCCACCTTTACTGGGAAAACATCAGGATCGTAGAATGCCAGCCTGCCTGTCCCAGCTCTGGAGGAAGAACACAGGAGAGAGGAGAGACAGCCCCGCTGGCCCCACAGCCTCTGCTTTCGGACTGATGTCACTCAGCCCCCCCTCAGGTGAATGCTGGCGGCTGTCACCCCGTCTCTGCTCCAGCCCTCTGCCTGAAGCCAGCGTGGGCTTTCCCACCGCTCACCTGGGCCGTGGCAGTGGTACTCCCAGGCCTCTTGTTCTTTCCTGAGGGTTCTCGTTCTTTCCCTTGTGTACCAGCTGGGAGGAGTGCCTGAGGGCACCAGCTGAGGCCAGCAGCAGGGGCCTGGAGCCACGGAGCAGAATGACTTGGGTCCCACTGAGTCAGAGCAGAGTCACAGCCAAAGGCTCAGAGCATGAATCCCCACCCTCCGGTTTTCCCTGTTTCCTTCAGAGGATCTAAAGTCAAGGCCAAGCCTCAGGGTAACCTAAGGACCTTGGACAGGCACTTAATTTTACTGGCGAGGGCCTCCGTTCCCTCCTGGGTTGAATGGGGTTGGAAATCTATGTCTCGGAGGACCCGGCGGGTTGAGCCAGATGAACGATGGTGCTTTGTAAACCTTCCAGGTTGATGCGGCTAGAACAGGTATTAACGACAGAGTCACTGATTTCCCCTCGCCCGCCCCTGCTCGGAACCCCTCCAGCAGGGAAGCCGAGCATCACTCCCCGCATCCCAGCATCCAGCATCCACTCTAGAGCTCACATAGCGCCTCCCTCGGCCCCTCTCCTGGGAGCCCCGCATCTGCAGGGAGCTGAAAGGATGATTATTGTCAGTTCACAGACCCCAGGAGGGGCAGGGGCTGCTCGAGGTCACGTGGCAGTTGGAGGCCCGGCCCCAAACCCCGCATCCTGTCTGCTGAGGAGCCCGGAGCCGGGGCTTTGGTCTCCCCCACCCCAGTGCTGTTTCGAGGTCTCCAGCCGGGGGTCTGGGGTCAGAGTTGAAGAGCAGCTGAGCCGGGCCTGGCTCAGACGCAGAAACTCTCTCCAACGGCTCCCCCACCGGGGTTCAGATGTCACACACACACTGGGAGCTGCTGGTCCCCTCGTCCCCTCGGCAACAGTCAACACAGGCAGACGCTGGAAACACAGCTCGGCTCAAGTGCCCTCTCCAGCCCGCATCAGCCACTCTGGGCTTGGGGTCTAGACAGCTAGTGAGGGGGACCCCTGCACAGACTTCCCGGGGGTTGGGGGGGTCCCAGAGAGGTCCAAGCTCAGACCGGAGCTGCCTCTCTCTCTCTCTCCCTCTAACTCTCCAGTCTCTATTTCTCTCTGTCTCTGTGTTACACACACACACACACACACACACACACACACACACACACACACCCATGGGGAGCCGCCCCGCCCCAGGGTTCCCGAGAACCACGTCAGCTGGGTACCGGCTGCCCTTGACCAGACTGTCAGCCTTGGACTCTTCCACGGCCCAGGGTGGCCCTGCGGTGGGCAGGGGTCTCGCCGGCAGTCGCCAAGCCCCCCAAGCCGCAGAAGCAGAGCGGTTGGGCATGGGGACAAATGGTGTGAGGCAGGATCAGCTGTGGAGGGAGCTCGTGGAGGCCGAGAGGAGGGGCCAACAGCGCTGGTGAGTGCCCCGCCTGACCCCCAGCCTAACTCAGGGTCTAGGAAGCTTCTGGAAGAAGAGAGATCCATGAGAAGGAGTAACCCAGCAAATGGGTGTTGATCGAAAAGTGCCCTGGGCCCAACTGGGGCCTCGAGGGTGGGAGGGAAGGTGGGCAAGGGCCGGATGACCCGCCTCCTTCACTCCAGGGTCCCACTGGCCTTTGGAAGAATCCCTCACGGGCGGGCCAGGAAGTCATGGCAGCACTGGCTGGGGGGCAGGGGCGCGAGGGGAGCACCCTGGCCCTCTGACCCAGGTGAGAGACATCCTTCACGCGTTTGTTCGATCCAGACGTTTCTAGGATAGAGCCACCCATCAGGCTGCGGTGAGGGACAAGGCAGGCCCAGACCCGGTTCCTTGGCGCCTCCCTCAGGACAGGGCAGCGGAGAAGCGAGCAGAGAGAGGACGAGTGTCAGGGAGTGAGGGGAGGGTGGGCGCCTTCTTCTTACAGAGGCCCCTCTGAGGAGACAGCGTTGAGGCTGAGACCTGAAACCTGAGAAGAGGCCAAGAAGAGTTCCGTGTGTTTAAAAACAAAGCAAAGCAAAGACCGTCCACGTGGCGGACGGGAGCCTCAAGATGAGAAGTAGGAGGAACACCTCGTGCACTATAGACGGTCGTATGTGTAAGTGTAGTGAGACCCCAGCAAGGGCGTTGAGGAGCAGCACGATGTGATCTGCCAAAATCTGTGGAAAAATTCAAGCAATGTTTTTGTGGTAGGATTCTGACGACTGCTGATGGGCTGGAGTGAGAATGTGTGCAGTGTGTGCGGTGTGGGGGATATGTGGGGTGTAGGGGGATGGGGTGTGTGTATATGTGTGGTTCGTGTGTGGTGTGTGGGGGTGTGTGTGTCTGGTGTGTATGGTATGTGCGTGGTGTGTACGGGGTGTGCGTATGTGGGTTTGTGTGGTGGGTGTAGGGTCGTGTGTGTGTGTGTGTGCTGGGTGGGGGTGTGTGTGTATGTTTGGGGGGCAACCTGAGCAGATTTGGGACTCTGTGAGTGCGCAGGAGAACTGGGCGCAGAGTGGCTGTGGGCGCGGGGACAGGGGTTCGGGGACTGTGCCTCCAGCCTGGGTCATTGGCGGGCAGAGCAGTCCGGGGTGAAGACGGGAGAGCTGGGTGGGGTGTGAAATGCCGAACCACATCCGGGTGGCCTCCCCAGAGGTGGCGGAGTGGCACCAGTCAGGAGCTGGGCGCTGGCCCCACAGGACAGAACGTGGGGAGGAGGCCAGGCGTTGAGGGGAGCGAGAAAGGAAGTGACTGCTAAGGGACAGGGGGTTTCTCTTTGGGGTGACAAAAAGAGTGGGGACGGTGCATGACTCTGAGTGTACTGGGAACCACTGGACCAGACCCTCTGCGGGGGTGACCCTTACAACATGTGGATCTGCTCTCGATGGAGAAAGCACATGCAGAACGCTGGCGTGGCAGGCATGACAAGCGCCCCCGGAAGGATGACATGTGTCCCGAGCGATGAGGTCACAGCACTCGGCTGGCAACAGTAACTTGCTGGACAGCAAGTAACTAGGAGACCGAGAGAAGCTGCCAGAAAAGAAGGGGTCACAGACCCCAAGAAGAGAGAGTTTAAGGAAATCCAGAGCTGTGCTCCCAACAGAAATAAGGCACGAGCCACCTGCGGAATTTTCCATATTCTAGTCGCAGCCTTAAAAAAGGTAACAAGAAACTAGTGAAATCCATATTAAGGATGTATCTTGTCCAAAATATTATCTTTTTGGCATGGAGTCAATATTTTTAAAAGGAGATAATTTGACATTCTTCTTGGCACCAAGTCTTTGAAATCAGGTCTGTATCTTAAGTCTCAGGGCCCAGGAGATGTGCCCCATAAACCCACCTCCTGGGGTTTTTCTAAACAGAGAAACTGAGGGCCCAAGACCACGGTGACCTTGCTCAGGGCCACCCAACCAGCAAAGCAGGCAGCAAGCAGAGTGAGGACAGGGACCCAGCGTTCCCGCCTCCTGCCTCACTGGCTCTCGCTAAATCTTCGCGTGGCTCTGAGGTTACGGTCCCTGCTTTCTGTTAGCTCAAAACCAAAGCTCTTGGAACATGGCTACCGCGTGCAAGACAGGAGTGATGGTGAGAGGAAGGGTCAGGACACCTGGGGAGGATGGGGGGAGAGGAAGCAGGGGGAAGCGAGGGTCAACTGCAGGGGGGAAGCTGATGAGGGAACAGGAACCCCAGGAAGGGTCAGGTCGGGAGGTTCCCAATGACTCAGGAGGGTAGCTTGAAGACAGGGAACTCAGTTCGAAGTCTGAGTATGGAACAATGAGGCAACTGGGAAAAGAACAAAAAACAACCTCTAGGAAAAAAAAATCTATAACGTTGAAATACAAAACACAACTGAAGTGAGCCTTCATAAACCCAGATTCATCACAATTACTCAGAAAGACAAGGAGGGGGAACACATGGAACCCTGGAACACAGAGCAAGGAGATCCCACATACCTTCCAACAGAGCTCTCCAAGGGGAAGCTGGGAGAGATGGAATATCGGAGGGGAAAGCGTCTGAGAATTTTCTAGAATTGTAGAAATGCATGCATGCATGGATACTGGAGGGTGTCCTCCACAACACGAAAGTAAACAAGGAAGGAAGGCCTGGGACCCCAAAAGCGGGGACCCCCGAGGAGAGGTCAGGACGGCAGGAGGGGGTCTTGGGCAGCAGCCCTCGTGGCAGCAGGGTGACTGGGGTTCCCAGACAGCAGCTTCTAGACAACAAACTTGAACAAGACGGTAGATTACCGGTCGCGTTTGCCTGTGTGGGAGATCATAGTGGGAGGGGCTTTACAATCTTGTTGGAGAATCAGTGATCTGTACACAGAAAGCTAAGAAAACCAGGAAAAAATGTGATCATAAACTCTAGGGAAAAACTCCAAGGAAGGATCGGAGATCCCATGGTCCTAGATAACCACTCCGCGAACAGTATCTAGAGAACCCCGAGGGTATGAACAACACACACCGGTCCCGCCAAAATCTATGACAATCATTTTGGAAGAAATGAGGGACGGGAAAAGGGGCAAGGAAGCTAACTCACCATCTCCCATAATCGAAAGTCCACAGATACGCTTACAGCTTCAAAAACTCAAGAAATGGCAATCTAGATTTATTATTCCAGAATATGACCATGGCAGACCCAAAGAAATAGCGAAAGGACTGGAAACGTGACCGGAGGCTGTGGGGTTCGGGGGCTGGGAGGATCCGGGCAGAGAAGCCTGTTTTTATTATAAGTCTTACAAAATTGTTCAGTTTCTTAAAAACAGTTTAAAATAAAAATTAAATTAGCAGCCCTGTCCCGGTCTCCGGCCCGGTGCCCACCTTCCTCTGTGGCACACACTGCAAGGCTACCAAAAAAGTGAGGTTTTTGGGGGCACCTGGGTGGCTCAGTGGGTTAAGCCTCTGCCTTCAGCTCAGGTCATGATCTCGGTCCTGGGATCAAGTGCCGCAACAGGCTCTCTGCTCAGCACGGAGCCTTGCTCCCTCCTCTCTCTCTGCCTGCCTCTCTGCCTACTTCTGATCTCTCTCTGTCAAATAAATTAAAAATTAGAAAAAAAATTATTTAAAAAAAAGTGAGGTTTTTCTTCACAAAGTACTTAAGGGCTCCCACTGGGCTCTGAAAACACAGAGGGCTTGCACCCTTGCCTTCCCCATCACGGGCCACCACCACGGCCGCCACACCTGCCACTCCGGGAAACGTCACTAATTATTGAAACATTGGCTCGGTGTAGAGTCAACGTGGTTGGCTTAGGGTGTTTGTTTCACTTGATCCTTTTAGCTCCCGCATGACGTAATAAATGCATCCACGGCACTGACTCATTCACCTGACACAGTGAAAGCCATTTGCAAAAAAAAGGCTCAGAAAGATGTGACACTGACCCCCCACCCTGTGTTTTCCTTTCCAGGGCTCAGCACTGGAGTTTCCTGAAAGACTATGACCCCTTGGTAAGGCCAACGGCGTTCCTGTCACGCAGACGTGCACCGGGGATGTGAGCACATTCATCTAACGTTTATGGGGGACCTACTGTGTGCTGGGTGCTGGAATGGATGGAGACAAAAATATATATACTGTCTTGTTTCAAGAAACCCAGGGTCTGGGGGAAAGAAAATGCTTAGTGCACGTTTAGGTATTAGTTTTCCGCAGTGTTTCTAGATCTTATGACGATGAACCAGCTGGCAATGTTGGGTGTCCGCTTTGGAAATGCTTGTACCCATGAGGATGTCAGCGAGGCAGTGAGTGGAGTGTGTGTGGTGTGCCGTTTGGGGATCAGCTTGGGTGAACATACGTTGTAAATGAATTCCCCTGCTTCTAAAGTCACCACTTCCAATCCGTCCTCCATGTTGCTACCAAGGTAATTTTCCTAAACCACAAAACTGACCCTCTCTCTCCCCCGCTTAAAATCCTTCAATATATCTGCATTTTTCCGGACGGCTCACAACGCTTCCCATGATCTAACTGGCCTGCCTCCCCACGCTGACCTACACATTATTTTACCTGTGCCTTTGTGTGTGCTGTTCCCCTGCCTGAAATGCCCTTCCCGCCTTGTCAGTCAATCTTATTCATCACTCAAGGGCCTCCCTCCCTCTGGAAATCTGTCCTTCCTGAGCAGGCTCCCTCAGATCCTTCTGTTGGTTACTGGACAGCATATCCAATCCGCTCCTTTGAAAGAGCCTGTCACGTTTTGATGATCGACTTCACCAGGCTGTGGGCTCCCTAAGAGAAAGGAGAAAGCCAGCTTCATCGCTGTCCCCCACCCACCAGCTGTGCCCTACCCCCCAGGACCTAATAGATACTCAGCACTCAGTTGATGCTGGATAAATGACCAAATGTTGGATGAATGTGGCCCTAAGGATGGTCAATGTACCAACCTGGAAAATGAGCAGGGGAACAAGTGATCCAAGTAGTGGCCACGCCTGCCAGCCTTAGGGGAGGTTTAACTAACTTCTGCCTTTCCAGCCTGCGGGCTCGCTGTCTGCCCTGGGATCGAAGGTGTCGTTCATGAGACCTGAAATCCCACACCAAGCTCCTGGGCTGCGCTTCCAGCCTGCAGGCTCCCTGCCAAGGGCTGGGATTAGCAACCCGATCACTGACAACTGCATCTCGCCCAAAGGTGTGGGGCCACCGTGGCCCAGAATTTCCCAGGGGAACACCAGGATCCTGTTACTGTGCTGGTCCTATAACCGCTGGGGGACCCAGGGTAGCCCCGAGTGACCCTGACCCGAGGGCTCCCCAGATTATTCTCACTTCAGGCACTGACTCACTCAGTCTCCTTCCAGTCACATGCGTGAACGTTCAGACCCCCAGCCTGGGAACAAACCCAGGTGTCATCCGTGGTGGGATGGGTAAATAACGTGGAACGTTCGTGCAAGCCACACGAGGGCGTGCGGTGGAGCAAGGACAACAAGGGAGCTGCGGCCACGCGCAGAAACGTGCACGACCCTCGAACACACGTTCCTGAGAGACAGGAGCCACCGTCTCACAAGATAAATTTCAAAACCGGGAGTCTGAGATGGAGCCCGGGCTGCCTCGGGGGTGGGGACAGAGACTGAGGGGTCTGAGCAGGCGGGTCCAGGTCGCGTGGCACGTCCCGATCTGGGCGGCTGCACAGACTTGCTCACGGCGTGGGGGCTCATGGAGCCGGATGGTTATGATTTGCGGCCATTTCTGGGTGTGTGTGACTTCAAGGAATTCTGGGTTCCCCGGGGGCCCAACAGGGTTGGAGACAGCTGGAGGAAGACAGCTGCTCCCTGCTCGCTTCCCTTCCCTGCCCCGTGCACACCTCTCCCCTGTGACACCCTCTGTACCCTCTCCTCAGGGCAACAGGAAGGAGCCTGTGCAGCCGCCGGAGCATGTGTCTCTCTTTTCCGACACAGTCCCCAACTCTGCCAACCAGGTGGTGGGCAGCAGGGTGAACACGCCCCTGGGGCAAACCCTCATCGGGATGGACTTCTTCTGTGTGGGCGGAGTCCGGAAGAAGAAGCTGGAAGCCGAGCTGCAGCCCGTGTAGGGGGAGGAGGTGGGTGCCGGGGTGGGACGGGGTGGGGGTTGTGGGCTGAGCTGCCCCGTGGCCCCCGTCAATGGCCCATGCTTGTCAGCCAGCCTTTCCTCCTCTCCGCGCCCCAAACAACCTCTCCGAGGGCTCTACTGGCCCATTTTCAGTCCTGAGATTAGAAGGACTCCAGGAGCGTGCCCGTGGTCCAGGACCCGGCAGGGCTGGGGTCTCCCTTGCGGGGCCCCTGAGAGGCAGCCCTGCGTTTGCGGTCACGAGCTGACTACCTGGGTTCAAATCCTGCCCCGGACTCCGAGCAGCTGTGTGATGTTGGGCCGGTTGTTGGAACCTTCTGTGCCTCCATTCCCCACCCAGCAACCCCCCATAACATGGTGTATTTGCTTCCCATTGCTGCCATCGCAAATGGCCACACGCCGAGGGGTTAAAAGAGCACATGCGTTCTATCTTACAGCACCGGAGCTCAGAAATCCAGACTGGGTCTTGCCAGATGGAAATCAAGGTGTGCGAGGCCTGTGTTTCTTTCCGGAGGCTAGAGGCATCTGGTTCCCCACCGTTTCCAGCTTCTAGAGGCAGGCTGCCCACATTCCTTGGCCGGTGGTTTCCTCATCTCCAAAAGCAGAATGATAGCATCTCCAGTCTCCAAACCTCTCTCTCTCTCTCTGCCTCCCTCTCTCCATCTTTTAGGATATCTAAGATAATCTCTCCATCTCACAGTTCTTAATTTAATCATGTTGACAAAATCCCTTTCACATGTAAAGGAACATATTCATAAGCCCTGGGGTTGGGGCGTGGATGACTTTGGCAGCCGCTTTCTGTCTACCACATACGGGACTAATAAAAGTACTGATTCTAGGGGCACCTGGGTGGCTCAGTGGGTTGAAGCCTCTGCCTTCGGCTCGGGTCATGATCCCAGGGTCCTGGGATCAAGCCCCGCATCGGGCTCTCTGCTCAGCAGGGAACCTGCTTCCTCCTCTCTCTCTGCCTGTTTCTCTGTCTACTTGTGATCTCTGTCTGTCAAATAAATAAATAAAATCTTTAAAAACAAAAAAAGTATTGATTCTAGAAGGTTGTCGTGGAGATGAAGTGGGTTAGCGTGTGTGACTGCTCAGAGCAGGGCCTGGGTCATGGTAACGACGGTGTGTATGCAGAGGACGCCCCTCTCTCGGGAGCAAGAGTAGCCTCCTGGTGAGTGGCGTGGGGGAGATGTGGGTCCTCACACAGGGGCTGCTGGGAGGTCAGCCCTTGGGTCAGCTTCATATCCGTGTGATGGTCTGGGTGGTCAGGGGTAGGCCGGAGCCAAGCCGGGGGGAGCCCCCCTAACGGAGCCCGAGCTGAAGCCCTGTCGGCCGCCCTGGGAACCCGTGACCCGGGCCCACTCCATGCGCTCTGTGCTCTGCGGAGGACATGGAGGGGCCCAGGCCTGGGCTCAGCCATATCAGGAAAGGGGAACAGGGCTCCTGGGATCCAGATGGGCTCTTATTTCCATTGGAGAGAGAGGGTGGAAGCAAGAGATATTCTGGGAGCTCCCAGGGGGGAGGATAAGTCAAGGTTAAATGCAGATGTGGGGGTCGGAGCCCATGTAGACTGGAGAGAATCATCCAGAGCTTCTCTGCCTGTGCCCAGAGGGAGGGCGGGAGGCCGGGGACAGGTGTGGGTTCTGCCACCTCCGGACAACGCGGTTATCGAGCACAGACTCTGTACTCAGCACACTCGCTGAATGGTCTTTTGGAAGGGTTATTGCCATGATTTGAGAGATTTGGAAACTAAGCCAAAGACGTCGTTCAGTCTGGCCGGGATTCTACAGCCAGAGAAGAGCCGGACTCACGCCTGACTTTACCAAACCCAGTTCTCCTCTCCGGGCCTCAGTCTTCACCGCTGTAAAATGGGGGCGGAGAGACTGGGTCCCAGGATGGCACCTGCTCAGCGCACTGTCTGTGGGTGTGCAAGGAGGCCCTGAGGCTCAGCGGGCTGCCGTCACACCGTGTGACACGCCACGCCACTTCTTGCTCAAGGGTCTGCATGGACGTGGCTCCAGGCTTTGGGTTGAGGCCAAGTCTGTCCATACGTCTCCCATTACCTTGGACCAATAGCTTCCTAGGGCACGTTCTCGTGGCACTCACCAGAGCCCAGGAGCCAACGCTAGCCGTGCAGAGCTTCGCAAGCCCTCATCCGCTAGCCTGTTAGCGGCTGAACAGGTCACATGGCCACCCCCAGGCTCACGAAGGCAAGAAAGCACACCTCGCCCCTGCAGGAGCGTCAGGAGGCAAACACCGGCTGGGTCGAAACCCCAAGTAAGACGCAGAGGTTCTGCCTGATTGCACAAGGAGCTTTGGGCAACAGTTTTCTGCAGGTGGTTTAAAGCAACACCCGGCCCGGGGCCCTGAGTCACAGAGCTGCGCGCGGGATGGAGCCCTGGATTCTGCGGGTCCCAGACTGGTCCTCTCCACACTTGGCCGAGCCCTGCTAGAGGCAGGCACCTGTCCCTGCTCCAGCTTGTGCCTGACCCCGCCGTGGGGCTGCGGGTCAGGGGCTCTCAGCCCGAGAGACAGAGGGCTCGTCTGTGGGAGCCCCAGCTTGGGGGCTCAGGGAGGAAGTCCTCCTGCAGGAGTCGTCACCGAGCTGGTCCTTGAGGAACAGCCAGGCAGGTGGGGAGGGGAGGGGGTTTCTGCTCAAAGGGACAGACACTGCCAGGAAGGGCTCCAAGGCAGGGGAGCACCCAGGAGGCGATTCCTGAGCAGAGAGCCCCCGGGAAGAGCCGCCTTCCGCACTCCGCAGCTCTCCTGCACGTGGTGTCATCACGGGAGACCCCTCCCCACTACCAGCCGGCCATCCCTGCCCTTCCCTGCCGTGTCTGCCGTCCTCTCCAGAGGACGCCTGCTTCTACTGCCCCACATCCTGGCCACGTCACCTGCCGGAGCCAAGGACACCCGGGCTAAGGGGTGTCTGTGTCATGCCTCATTAGGACCCAAACAAAGGAGGCCGGCTGGGCCAGGAGAAGTGGGTGCCAAGCCTTTGTGTCGGCACCAGCAAAGGCCAGGGGGGGCATTAGAAACAAGGAGACAAGACATCTTACTGCCCAAGGCTGGGAGGAGCTGGAAGTAGGGGCTAACCGAGCCATAGAGAGGCTGAAGGATTCTTTCTTTGCCTTTTACAACTGCTTCTCTGACCTCCCCTGCCTCATTCTCCTGTGGCAAAACCAGCATCGCTGCTTTCTCTCTCTCTCTCTCTCTCTCATACACACACACACACACACACACACACACACACACACCCCACTGTCCAGAGAACGTACGAGGTGAGCTCAGAGTTTCTTCCTATGCCCATAAGTGAGAAAGTGTTCCAAACGGGATGAGGGTCCTCAAAGTGATAGAGTCAGAACCAGCTTGAAGGGGTTCCCACTGGCGAAATCTGGGACAAGGAGAGCAGTAAAATGATGCCCATTCCTGACTTCACCTGTGGCAACGCTTCTGAGCAAAGCCAGTGCCCCTAAATCCCACCAAATAATAATAATAAATAATAATAATAACGATGATAATAATAATGCCATGAGTCCATATCAATAAGTTTTAAAATGTTTAAGTAGAGGAAGAAAAGCTCTTCTCTACTGAAAAATGGAGCATAAATGAAAAAAACAGAAAATCACCATTTTATCACTATCACTGACTTGGGTAAGAATCAGTAAAAGACACTAAAAGCACTATGGGAAAGATTCTTAGGGAGTGATAAATGATGAAGTCTGAGAGATTCCCCTTAACAACACTATTAAACTTAACCTCGCCAGCCAGAGGACAGCGGACAGCAGGTGCGTCCTGAAGGGACCCGCTGGGGAGGGGCGCCCACCCCAGGAGCGCTCCCGCCCGCCCCACATAACCTGAGCCAGCCGTCGGGCACGCTCCAATGGAGGGGCTCTCTGCCTAACTGCAGGCCTTGACTCTTCGCCACGTCAATATCCTGAGAGACACGGGACACTGCGGTTGGGATCAACATTAAAGGCAGTACAGAAAATATTCAGGACCAGCTCCCAGGACAAAGCAAAAGCAGCCCTAAAGGACACTGTGCAGACTAGAGGTCAGACGATAGGCACTAAATAGTAGACAATAGCTCTGTACCAACGTTCAATCTGCACAGTGCGACCATTCTAGCAAGATGGTGTAGGAGAAGGCCCTTGTTCTTAGGAGAGAGCAGTGGTTGGGATAAAGTGTCATCACGTCTAAGGCTCACTTGCTCTGTAGAACCCCCGTCCTGGCCAAGTCTCCCCTCCCCATTAAGGGTACAGAAGACCCAAAAGTCAGCTCCCCAGTCAGATGAGCCAATATGCTATGGGATGTCCCAGCTGGGACGTGGGAGCTGGGATTCCCCATCTTCCTCCGGAGCCCATACCGGACTCCTCCTAGGGTAACCCACTCCCCACAGCTTTAGGAGCAAAGCCAGTACCCACAGACCCCAAAAACACTTCGCTAGTTTGCACTCAGTAAGGAACCACCATTTATTAAGCACCTACTGGGTACCTCTCAGAACATTTATGAGATGGGTATGATTATCCCCATTTTAAAACGAAGAAATTGAGGCCTAGGGAAGTTCAGAGCTTGCCCATCTCACTCAGTCTGTAAGACCCGTGCTGGGAAGACAGCAGAGGTTTGCGAGACCCTGGAGTCCCACACCCACATCAGCCACATCCAGGGCCTCATGCAAAGCAGCCGGTACAGGGAGAGAGGCTCAGAGTCAGGTAGAAATCCTCCTCCTCCAATCCCACCTCCCCTGGCTGAGGCCCAGAGCAGGCAGCTTCTGTCTCTGGCCTGGTGGTTGTTTGTCCCCAGCCATAGAAGGACAGCTCTGTCTTACAGAGGTCCGCCAGGCAGGGAGCACTCCCAGAAGAGTAGGGACAGGCGGGGCCCCGGGCTGGAGCCTCTCCCTCCTGTCGCTGTGCCTGTGGACCCAGGAGGAAGAGAGGGAGAGTAGGGGGGAGGGGGAGGAGGGAATCCCAGCCACTTTGCAGG